ATCCTGGCTCCAACCTGTCCTTGTCTGGGGAAGTGGGGAAGGGGGCATGGCCTGGCCCTGCCAAGGGGAGGGGGAGGATAGGTGCCATGGCTTGCCCCAGTCCCAACCCAGCCCCACAAGGGGAAGGGGACTTGACTTGAACTGGTCCTGTGGGGGGAAGGGAGCATAGTCCAGTCCCATCCAACCACAGGGGTAGGGGAAGGTGTGTGGCCTAGCCCCAACCTGTTGCTGGGGTTTGGGAATTTGGCAGCTGGGGGAGAGTGGCCATATTTTTTGATTTCCTGATTTGTGGGGGGGCCTCATGGGCCAGATACTTATGATTCTGCAGGCCGCATTTGGCCTGGGGGCCAGAGGTTGAGCATTCCTGAGCTACATGATCCATGAGGGCTCTTCCAATGCTAGTAGCTTGCGAGTCTGTGCTCTAATTTTCTTATTTAAAAGTCAGCATTTACATCGCTTGCTGGTGACATTGGAGTGGGAATAGAGTCTATAGTTCCCAATTCGTATTTCTAAACATGCACTACTTTGATGAGATTATCCAATCGTGTCATTGTTTAATGCAAAGTAGTGTTATAGTTTTCCAGCTGATGACTTACAAAACTCAGTAACTTAATCGGTTTGTTTCCTTCTGCACTTGACATTTGAGGATTCTAAGCATTTTGTTTTCATTCATTGCTGTTCTAAATCAGAGAGAGAATGAAAAATAAATGTATGCAATAAGCCCTCTGAAATAAAACTGCATCTCTTTATAAGCTAGTTGAGTCTTTGAATAAGGGAAAATGCAATTTAGACTTGACTTAATCTGAATAAGACAGTCCTTGACAGCTTGTAAGTATTCAATGTTTTGTGTTTGACAGAGAAAGGCTCTCACTGACAATAAACAAAAGAGACTGCAGGAGAAAATAGAACTCTTGGAAGCCAAGAGAGAAGAACTAGAAACAGAAAACCAGGTGTTAAATCGGTAATAAAATCTTACTTTGTTTGACATGATCCTGGAAACCATGGTTGTGGAATTTTGTGTTTGTTTGTTTGGTGGTCATAATTTTTTTGAATGAAGAGGCAGTACAGCCCAAAAGCTATCACCCAGTGACAAAATATTGAAGGGCATGTACATTATGGGCAGTTTAGTCACTTGAGTTCAATCAAGTTGTACTTGCTGAAGAAGGTTCCCCATGAGTGAAGCCTTATTGAAGTCAGCAGGGCTCTGATGTACTGGTCAGTTAACAGATGGTGGGCTGCACACAGTGTGACCCTTTTCTTATGTAGTGCTATTTCATCACTGAACAAGTGT